AGCAAACACAATGCTTGCGACAATTGCGGCTATTTGTGGTTACATAGCTGCAATTAGTTTTGTGACAATTTTGGCGATTTATGTCTACTTTAAGCACAAGAATAGGAGAAGCGATGAGTTGTTGTCGCGAATCCCGAGCCCTAAAGCCAAGTATCCATTGATTGGAAACTTAGATCTGTTCAGAATAAAAGGCGTTCCCCTCAATGAATGTAAGCCATATATTTTGGTTACCTTGATATGTGAATAGAAAAATTAAAAATATTATACTAAAACTAATTAAAATTGGAAAATATTATCCAGGTGTATATAGAACTCTAGTCGCCTTATCAACAATGTACGACAAATATGGTTTATTTAGAATTCAACTGGGTCCCTCACCCTTGGTCGTACTGTTCAAACACCATACTGTCCATGTAATTATTACTTTGTTTAATAATTAAATTTTAATATAATTAATATAGTATTCATGAAAATGATTGACAAATTGACAATTGTTATGTAACCGCATAAATTACAATTCACATAAATGAAATGAAAATAATGTATTTAAAAAATGGTTCATTGTATAATACAGTAATTTGTATTACAATTGCATTGATTTTTATGAAGATTGTTAACAATTTTAAAATTAATAATACTATTATAATTTATTTTTATTATTTAATAGACTTTATTGACGAGTAATACAAATATAGAGAAATCTGAGCAATACATGTTTTTTCTGGACTGGTTGGGCGAGGGGCTACTCACAAGTACCGGTGCCAAATGGAAAGGCAGGCGAAAACTGTTGACATCAGCCTTTCATTTCAAGATATTGGATGACTTCATACCCATTATGTGCGAACAGTCAGACATATTGGTCCAGAAGCTCATGAGGGAGTCCAGCAAACCATACATCGATGTCAGGGAACCCATAACTCAGTGCACTCTTGATGTCATTTGTGGTGAGCCTTAAGAAACTCTTATAATTTGGATAAAAATCTTGAATTAATATTATATTTATATGAAATCAGAGACAGCAATGGGTGTCTCGATAGGCGCACAGTTAGGCAAAAACACGGAGTACGTGAATGCCATTCACAATATGGGAGAAATACTGATGAAACGGGTGTTTTCGCCGT